TACCTGAATCCCTAGATCTCTTTGTTCTACAGTGCTTTGTATTTTCCTCTAACACCTGCAGCAAGACCTCATCAGCATTCACTTTTGGGCGGTGATATTCATGTCACCCAGGTACCAAGCAATGACTGTCTTTGACAAGAGAGAATCTAAACATCTTTCTTTGACTTCCCTTGGTATTACCATCACTCAGTCCCAAAACATCACCATTATGAGCTTACTGTCGAGTAAAATCTTACCTGGGCCAGCTATGCCAATACTTGGTGATTCTGGCAATCCTGCAGACAGTATCTCACTTGCTGGTTTCCCAAAGCCTCTTTTGTCCACTTTAAATTTGGGACCAATCAGGAGTGTGCTGAAATTCTCTCCACTTGCCAGGATGGGTGTGACTCAAACAACACTCAAGAAACTTGCAACATCCGACACATTGCTGAATGCTTCATTTGTAACTAATCCATCACTAATGCACTGTGGCAAAAATGTGTACTATCTATCACCAGATGTATTAGACGTAGGATATTGTCAATGGCTATGGGGAAATGGCAGACATGTTGAATAATTACTTTGCCTCTCTACTTAGAGTAGAAAAGGAGGATAGCTTGCAAGGAGTCCCGAGGAGATTAATAGTGAATAAGGAACAGGGACTGAATAAAAGTCAAACATCAGTAATATAGAAATGAATGGAAACAAAGAGTGAGAGATCTCTGGGAGCTGATGGTTTCCATCTGAGGGTGTTAAGAGAAGCACAAAAGTTCCCTATACAGGAGTCATCCCTCTGGATTGGAAAATTGCACATGTCACTCCACTTTTTAAGAAGGGCAAAAGAGAAAAGCTAAGGGATTGCAGACCAGTTAGCCTAACGTCTGTAGTTAGGAAATTGTTGTAATCTATAAACCAGGATGGGGTAACTGAACGCCTTGAAAATTCTCAGTTAATCAGGGGAGCCAACATGGATTCATGATTGGTAGGTCATGCCTGACAAACCTCTTTGAATTATTTGAAGAGGTTACTAAGGTAGTGGACAGGGGAATGTTGATAGATGTTTATATGGACTTCCAGAAGGCATTTGACAAAGGTCCGCATAAGACATGTTAACTAAGATAGAAGCCGATGGAGTGGAGGGCAAATGATTGCTCCGGCTTGGAAATTGATTAAGTGGCAGGCAGCTGAAAATAGGATAATGGGAGATACTCAAATTGGCAGGATGTGACTAGTGGTGTCTCACAAGGATCTGTGTTAGGGCCTCAATCATTCACATTATTTATTAATCACTATTAATGACATGACATAGAACATCATAAATCCAAATTTGCTGATGACACAAAGTTAGGCAGCATTGTAGACCGTGTAGATGATAGCATAAAATTACAAGAGGATATTAATAGATTAGGTGAATGGGCAAAACTGGTAGATGAAATTCAACATAAGCAAGTGTGAGGTTATCCGTTTTGTTGCATAGATCTTTCAAATGTCACAAATAGGTACAGAAAATAATCAGTAAAGCTAATGGAATGCTAACCTTTATATCTAGAGGACTGAAGTACAAGGATGTAGAAGTTATGCTGCAATTATACAAAACCTTGGTTGGACTCCACTTGGAGTACCATGAGCAGATCTGGACACCACACCTTGGGAAGGATATATTGGCCTTGGAGGGAGTACAATGTAGGTTTACAAGGATGAAATGTGGACTTCAGGAGCTAAGTTATGAGGACAGATTATACAAATTAGGCCTGTTTTGTCTAGAATTTAGAAGGTTAAGGAGTAACCTGATTGAAGTCTTCAAGTTATTAACAGGAAAAGATGGGGAAGATAAAGGAAACTATTTCCATTGGTTTGGGATTTTAATATTAGGGGGCATAATGTAAAAATTAAGGCCAGACCATTCAGGGGAGATGTTAAGAAGCACTTGTACACACAAAGGTTGGTAGATGTTTGGAACTTTCTTTCACAAATGGCAGCAGATCAGTTGGTAATATTAAATCTGAGATAGATAAATTTTTGTTAAGCAAAGATATTGAGGAATATGGGCCAAAGGCAGGTAGATGGAGTTAGGGCATAGATTAGTTATGATCTCATTGAATGGTGGAACATGTTTGTGGGGTTGCATGGACTACTCCTTATGTTCCCATGACCTATGTTCCTGTATTAAAGATTTTGATAAAGGGACCAAATGTCTGGTGAGTAAATTTACCATGGACACGAAGGAAAGTAGTTTGTCAAAAAGAGCTGCGGATTCTACAGAGGAACGTACATAGATTAAGTAACTGGGCAGCAAATTGGTAGATAAAACATGGGAAAATGTAAATTTTGGCACTTTGGCAGGAAGAATGGAAAAACAACATGTTACTTAAATGGAGAGAAATTGCAGAACTCAATTATGCAGAGGGATCTGAACATACTGGGAAGTGAACCATAAAAAGTTAGTTTTTGCAGATACAGCAAACAATTAGGAAGGCAAACGGAATGTTAGCATTTATTGCAAGGAAGACAGAATATAAAAGTAGGGATGCTATGGTACAATTGTAGAAGGCTTTGATGAGATCACATGAGGAGTACCATGCACAAGTTTACTCTCTTTACTTGGGAAAAGAATAAATTACATTATTAACAGTTCAGAGAAGATTAGCTCCCTCCTGGGCTGCAAGATATATATTATGAAGAGTTGTTGGACAGGTTAAGCCTATACTCATTAGAATTTAAAAGAATGAGACGTGATCTTATTGAAACAAATAAGATCCCAATGAGATTTAAACAAATGAATATGTGGAGGATGTTTACTCTTTATGGGGGAGACTGGAGCTAGAGGGCATTGTTAAAAAAAAGGTCTCCCACTTAAGGCAAAAGACGAGAACTTTTCTTCTCCGAAGGTCATTAGCCTATGGAACTCTTGCTGAAGAACTAGCGGAGGCAGGATTATTGAATATATTCAAGGCTGAGTGAAATAGATTCTTGTTGGATAAAAGAGTCAGATGTTCTATGAGACAGACAGAGGATTGGTGTTGAGACCACAATCAGATTAGCCATGATCTTATGGAATAGCAGAACAGACTGAAAGGCCTGAATGTCCTATTCCTGCTCCTATGTTCCTATGGCTATGTACTTGAGTGGTTAGAGAATTAGGGTTAACCTGCAGGTTTACATACCAAGAGCTGGAAAGTGGGTTTAAGTTAGATCGCTCTTTCTCACTGGATGAGACACACTGGGATGAATGACCTCTTCTGTGCCTTAAATTTTCAACGTTTCCTCTGTAAGTATCCCTATTGCGGCATGATAATCTTGGTTTCCACCAAATAATCTCTCTGGTGTTTAAAATCAACTGATGGAATTGTGGAGGATCATTTCTTCAGATTTTAATTATTGGAGATTTAGAAAAAATAAATTAAATGCCCTTGACTTATTCTTTCGGGTTCTGTGGTATTCTCAATATATCTTTCTCTTCGTCTCTTAACTTTGCTTTTTGAACATACATTGACATTGAATTTATTATTCTGAGAGCACCTTGTTCAGTCTCTGCTATCCGTTACTGATTTATCAGTATGATTGGTTATGATTGCTTAAGGAAGCATATTGCTGCATGCTCTGCTTACACAGACCTGCAATACTCTAGATTTGTAGCTCTCTGACAGCAGTTTCTGGTGGAAAATCCCACATGAAGTCCTTCTTTACCATTTGTTTCTCAATAACCTCAAAATCTGGGAAAATTAAAATTGCAGCCTGTATGCAGAGCTTGAAGATGTAGACAGAAGATTAATTAGTCCCAACTGAGATCAGAGATTCGAATTTAACTCTGTTGATAAAGCTGTGCGGAACTGATGCCATGTAATAAAATATTGTGAGAATCCAGTATTAAATGGAGCAAAAGGTACAATGAAGCACCAAAAGGAGGTGGTTGAATATTCTTAAATAGACTGCTAGTATACCAACAGAAACTTTAAATGTAAATATTATGACAGTAATTGTCAAAACTTCAGAATATTTCATAGAAGATCAAAGATGTGGATAAAAGTGGGCACTGAATTTACATGAGATAGTAGGAACTGCAGATGCTGGAGAATCTGAGATAACAAGGTGTAGAGCTGGATGAACACAGCAGGCCAAGCAGCATCAGAGGAGCAGGAAGGCTGA